CTGGCACAAATTGTGTTTTTGAAGCCCTGGTGCCAGTTGTTTACAGTTTTACTCTGGCATTCTCCCCAGCTAAAGCAATAATTTTATGACTTAATGTCAGTTAAGTCATTGAGAAGTGACTGAGAATGGGATGGTTAAGAAATGAGCTCTGGTTTAAAAAAAAAATCAAAGCTTAAATTACATACCACAATTTAGAACTAGCAAATTCTTCAGCAAGCCTAGCCTCTGCCAGAATGCTTCATTATACAATGGAATTAACAGTGACACCCATAGAAGGGTAACAAAATTATCAAATGATGTATATGAGCTCAGTTTTAAACTTAGGCTTTAAAATGTTCTCAAACTGATCATACTAACAATAGCACAACAGCATGTGTTGCAGACCTACTTAGAAAGATATGAAATAGGAAATAAAACCTACCCTAATTGTCACATTCTTCATCTGGTGGGATGACATTCAAAACCGAGGTATAGGAACATCTTATGAAATGTATGTATTTTGCTCTCATATTAGGTAGGTGAGGGAGATAACTCAAAAGTTTCATGGAACACTGGAGTCCGCATCTCCTGAAGGAATCTCATATTCTCAGTCTCAAAACTTTCCATGAGTTTGTCTTCTCCGAGCCTTGCCACACTCACTGAGTGAATTTACCTAAAGCGCTCATATTTTTATTTCTTTTTTTTTTTAGAAAAAAAAGTCTTTTTTATTTTACAGACCAATCACATCTCCCTGTCTTCCTCCCTCTCCTTCCCCTCATCCAGTTCTCCCCACCCCATTTCCTATCTTTTCCTCAGAGAGGGTGGAGCCTCCCGTGAGGAGCCAACAAAGTCTGTCACATCACTTGAGGCAGGACCAAGGTCCTCTTCCTGTATCTAGGCTGAGTAAGTTATCCCGTTATAGGAAATGGGCTCCAAAAAGCCAGTTCACGCACTAGGGGTTGTTGTGCCTGAGTCTTAGGCCCCCCAAGAAGACCACCATGGAGTCACACTTTTGAATGTAAAAATCAAGGTTTCGTTTATTAAGTACAGGCTAACATGGTCCTCTGCCTCATAGTCTGACTCAGCAGATGGAGGGAGAAGGACCTCGTCTATTTTTGTAAGGGATTTATAAAGACAAAAACCACAAAGCAGTCACAAGGTTACAGTCTCAAAATACAAAATTGCCTTTCCTATATCACAATTGGCTAAAGGTGTGAGGTAAAGCTCAGCTGTTAGTTCCTGATAAGTAATTAGTATTTAAGGGGGATAGCAACAGCCCCCCACACCCCCGTTTAAGTCCTCCAGATATCTGTTGACTCTTTGCTAACTTATCTCATTGGTCCTGAAAACTTATCTGATTGGTTCATTGTTAACTCAGCCCATAGGGGAAGTTTGGTGGTCAGCAACTTGTCAGCAGTTTTGTGTAGGTTGGGTTTTTCCCATTAGCTAATACTTTCCCTAAAAGGGGGCTAGCGGCCTCCGGCTTTTATCAGGGATGGGAGTGAAGTTCAAAGTCCCACAGGTCCCAGCATAAAAATGGAATCTTTTCTTGTTGCAGTGAGGGTCTGCTTGTTCGTTCCAGCCGCACGGCTAGCTTAGCCCCGAAATAATCACACAGAAACTGTATTAATTAAAATACTGCTTGGCCCATTAGCTCTAGCCTCTTATTGGCTAACTCTCACATCTTGATTTACCCCATTACTATTAATCTGTATATCGCCATGTGGGAAAGATTCAGCATGCCTGACTCTGGTGACTCCATGACGGCTCTCCCCTTTGCTTTCTTCCTCGAAGAATTCAATTCTGTCTTCTCTGCCTACCTAAGTTTTACCCAATCAGGCCAAGCCAGTTTCTTTATTAATTAACCAATGAAAGCTACATATAGACCAAAACACCTCCTACACCATTTTCTGGCCTTACAATTTTCCTTAGGAGTTTCAGATGAAGTTCAATTCTGAACGCTAGATTTCAAATTTCTTTCCTCTTCTATGTTATAGTTCTAATAAGCTGATAGAGCAATGACTATTTACTGTTTGAATCACAAACTCAGGATTTTAAATTTCTTTTGGCTGTCTTCTAAATATAAGTTTATACACTTTTAACATAAATCTGTGTTTTGCCAAGACTCAAAGGTATGAGTCTATTTCTGTTGTTGTTTTATAGATATCTGTTATTTGCCTTGTCTGTAATATGTATTTCAATATAGACCTAAAAGTTTCAAATGTATTATTTTTTTTTAGTATATAAATTTTTACTTCTGTTCCTAGTTTAAATTTGTCTCAACAGTTTTCCCCTTGGCTAGCAGACACAAACAAGTATCAGTTGTGTCTGCAGTCCACTCCAAATGACTATGGACACTGGACTTGATAAAAACTAATATGGACCAGTCAGTCTAGCAGATGTAAATGTTCCCTGGCTCTTCAACAGAGTCCATAAACAAGATGCTGCTAATAAATACCCCATTGCCTAAATTGCCTCTTTGGTTTTCACTAACATTTCACCTTTGTTAGCTCTTGACAACGATGCCCCAAAGTCAGCCAAAAGCAGTTAAAAAAATATATCATCCTGTAATTCCTGATTAAGAGGTTAAGTCAAAACAAAAACAAAAAAAACCCACCCTTATATAAAAAGATTGTGTATAGTCTTAGAAAAATAAAATCTGTTTTTGCACTAACCACTCAGATTATAGAAAATAATTTGGCTAAAGTTTAAAAAAAATGGCCACCCCCCAAAAAAATTAGACTCTTCATAGGGATGGTTCAAATCCTGGTTTAATAGCTCTCCTTGGTTAATTACCCTTGTTTCTGCTATTATAGGACCCTTATTGGCTTAGTTATCAATTTTGACTATTAGCCCATATATACTTAACAGGCTGGTACAGTTGTAAGACAAAGGCTTGACACTATTCAACTTATGAGTCAGTGTATTAATGCCAATGTATATTATTCTACTTATTTACGTCCTCCAGACATCTGCTGACCCTTTGCTAACACAGGGTCTGCCTGAAAATTTATCTGATTGGTCCATTGTTACTCAACCAATAGGGAAAGTTAGGTGGTCAGCATCTTGTCGGCAGCTTTGTGTAGCTTGGATTTTTCCCATTAGCTAATACTTCCCTTAAAAAAGGGCTAATGACCCAGGCTTTTCTCAGGGGTAGGGGTAAAGTTCAAAGTCCCACAAGTTCCCAGCATAAAAATAAAATCTTTTCCGTCCTCACAGGGATAGATACTGGTTCAACGAACAGCAGCCCTACAAACTGTAAAGGGCTCATTTTATCACAAGGGAATGTGGCATAGTAATATAGTTGACATGTGAGTTTGAGTCAGATAACCAAGGTAACTTGTACTAATAGGCAGTAAACCAGTGGTAAAATTATCTGGAAAAGATTAAAATAGAAGATCTTTCACCTGTACATAGATTATGAACTTTTTAAGTATTACCTTTAGGTCAATACATGCCAATGTGGAGGAAAATAGTATCAAGAAAGGTAATAAAACAGAGAAAACAAATTATGTGCATTTTGTAAAATTGGAGTTATAGGGAACATTATTTGGTTATTGATTTTTCCCTGATTCTCAGAAGTGACTTCCAATATGAGGATAAAAAGTTGCTTATGGCAAAGAAAATTCAATGGCGTTACACCTAAGGACACCATTAATTCCAGCATTTCCATAACATTTGAGCACAGGAGGGCTTTGCTCTGGTGTTGGGAAATAGAACTAACTCAACGGAACTCCTTTTAGGCATTCTCATATGATTTTATGCTCAGACTTTCCAAGTTCAATGAATTGATTTTGATGTTTTCAGCTCTAATTATATTGTGGGAATACAGTTTTCAAAAATATGAATAGTAGTAGGATTAAGACAACAGGATGTAAGTTGTTAGAGTAGAATGGACCTGGCTCCCTCTGCGGGTAATTAAAAAAAATGAATATGGAACCTGAATGAGATGGACTGATCAGTGGCCTCTCCCACCAGGCTGGATAACTGTGATCACAACAGGCTGCCTCTGTCACTGCACAGTACTGAATCTGAACAAGGGTCCAACTCAGAGTACAATTCCAGGAAAACTCAAGCTACTTGGACACTTGCTGTTGACATCCATAATCTTTTGCTTTATTTGTTGACATTACAGTTTTGAATCCATATGCCTCAGTTTCAAGGAGAATTAAAAAGAAAAGAATTTGAACTCAAATATTTTATTGGTAAGATATCTTTAGAGTATATCTCTATAATATGTAGCAGATAAATGTTTTTAAAATATTTACTGTGTATTTAATCATGATATTCACAAGTAGTTCATGTTAATTAGATAAGCTGGAGGCAATACTCAGTAACTAAAAACACTTGCTGCTCCTCCAAAGGACCCATGTTTGTTTCTCAGCATTCATATCAAGGAACTCACAACTGTCTTCAGCTTCTGAGAGTCAGCCACCCTCTACTGAACTCTGCACACACCATATACTCACAGACTTATACATGGCCACATAAAAAAATAAAATTTAAAAATGTAGACATTAAAAAGGTTGATAAATTTAGATAAGCATATATTAACTATACGTCATAAATGACATCAGATTATGATAAGGCACATATTAAATTATGTTTTCTATTCCAAAAATACTGAAGCTAAGTGGTTAGGCTTATCTCAATCAGTAAAATAGAATGGAAATTAACAAATATTAACAGTTTCACATTTCTCTTTTTCTAAATTAAAGTAAACCTAGAATGAATAGCAATCAATGTGATGAACTCAGCTTTCGTCAGTTTCTCTGACTCCCATTATTTCTATTTCTTGGGAGTGGCTTAACAACTCCCGCCAAAATGGAGGCAAGGCAAATATCAATGTTCAGCTTGTTTTTCCACTACACTTTGCAAATGTTGGCATGTTTTCAGTGAAACTGTCAATTGCATGTCCACTTAGCAATTAAACTGCCCAAGCTATTTTATTTGGGAGTGTAGAAGACAAAGTTTATACCTGCCTGTGAGTCTGAGGTAAAAATATCAATGCTTTGTTACAGCTTCTGCCAACAAGAGAAAATGCCCATGACCTTCCAGTCCTGTGTGATCACCAAGGAGTGCCAGGTGTCCGAATGGTCGGAATGGAGCCCATGTTCAAAAACATGCCATGACGTCACATCCCCCGCAGGCACTCGTGTAAGGACAAGGACTATCAAGCAGTTTCCAATTGGAACTGAAAAGGAATGTCCAGAACTTGAGGAGAAAGAACCGTGTTTGTCTCAGGGGGATGGAGCTGTCCTCTGTGCTACGTGAGTAAAGGAAGACTGGATGTCCTCAATTGCCATGACCTTTCAGCTCTCTGATGTCACAAATATTTGAAACTTGCTATATCAGTAATCTAACTTAAAACACTATTTCAGATTCAACCATAGAGAAATGGTGAATTTTCTTAGATGTTTTAAGCAGAACACTAGATAGCTCATTACAAAGTTTATCCATTAAAGATGTGCTTATTCTACAGAATGAAAATATAACTAACAACTTCATTTCCAAATCTCCATAAAGGCTAGACTTTTAACAGCAATTCTTTCAGCGTATCCAATCATATCGGTTGGTGAATTATATTAGTAGATGGCTCACACTGAGGACACTAGATTGAACAGGCTACATATGTCTTTGTTGCAATGAGTCAGCATCATGTGTAGATAGTTGGGTCGTAATCAGTAATGCGGGTAACAATTTTAATTAAAAAGAGTAAAGAACTACAACAAAATTAAGGGGTTTTCAGTTGTTGGGAGTGGAGATTTTTGTTCATTTTTTTTTATTTCATCACCAGCATATATTATGGGGCCTAACACACATTAAGTGCCTAAGAGATGTTCATTGACTTCAGGTGAAATAAAACCAGTTCTGAAATATTTGCCAGTATGCCAGTTTTTTTTTCTTAAAAATACTAATTCCAAGATATAACACTGAGTTATATTAGCAATATTTCTAGTTTATCTGAATATGGAATACTTATAAAGAAACTTAGAGAATATTAGTGCACACACTCCACTGGGAGTGTCTCTGGACTGTCCACACTTTCAATGGACCTGGATATAGTTTAAAATTCATAAATCAGCGAGGAGGCAAATTACTGCTATTAGTATATGAGGCATTATAACCAAAATGACAATGGTTTACATGAGTCTGTCTATAGTGCTTTGCAATCACCCACAGTCTTCTCATAGCAGAAGGGACTGAGAAATCCAGTTCCTTTCTTAATGCTCTCTGGGTCCCTTCTCCATGACAGGAACCAAGGGATACTGCCCAGACTTCTGGATATTGTCTCTCCCAACAGTTTCTTCTGCGTTTGTCTAACTGTGGGGCTTTATCGTTTATCTTCTCAAATTTTCAAATGCCATTAATAAAACAAGCCGATATCGTTGGTTTTCTTTGTCGTCTCCATTTTCTAGGGTAGAACTTTTCTTGGAATATATCAACTATTTATATTATTGAAAATCTGTTTCTATCACAGGACTCCTTAGTATGATCTAAACTGAAATCCCATTCTAAGTATTTTTTCAATGCTTTCTAACTCCCATAGAAAATTCGTTTTTCTGTTTTACTTTCCTCTAACCCTATCAATTATCCATATATCTAGAAATGCTCTTCTTTTATTAACAAGGTTTATTGCTGTTCCTTGATGGCACAATACCACAACTGTGCATCCCCAAACTCCTACTTATAAAAATGAGAATGGGAAGGCCTCTCACTTTCACCAGCAAATTATTCACCCTTGACAGAGTCAAGCACCCAGAACAGACATCCAAGGGCACCTTTAACCTCTTTGTCGGATTGAGATGAGCACATCCACTTATATCTGTGTTAGCCATTAATCTGATCCATGGGGAAGCATCATGGTTAGACTGTCAGAGTGCTACTGGAGCCATTTCCTCGGGGCTTTTAAGGTATCCGCTTTCCTAGAGGTGGAGAAAAGCCATCACTTCCCATTGTTGGTGACATGAGGAAATGCTTCCCTATCTCCTTCTAAGGAGAGTCAGGCTGACAACCCCAACAGTGGTTTCACATCCTAATCTTGATTGGAGCTCTGAGAATCAGGGATCATCTTTTATGCGCTTTCCTGGCAGCAAAGTCAGCTCTTCTCCTCATTCGCTGGCATTCATCAGGAATGTGGGGCTCTTACAGAGCATGTGCACGAGAAACTTCTGACTCTTGACAGTAATGAGAGAGCTCTGAATTGCTCTGTTATATTTTTAAATCTAGCATGCAATTATAATTTTGCTCCGATATGAATAAGCAATTTTCATGCATTTTGTTAAAATCAAAAGCAAGTGTTTGGCCTCGTCATCACTTAGCATGTTTGGCGTTCTGAGACTCAGCCTGCCTTCGTTTATAAGCTCTGAGAAAGGGCAAGCTTGAGTTCAGTTTAATTGCACATGAAATTTCATGTTTTCAGCAGTATGTTCTTATTTCATAAAATATTGATAAGTAACTTCTAGTAGTTGCAATTAAAACAGGCACGGTCTGCATTCAGTTCCTCTAACGGGGTCCAACTGAGGACAAAAACAGCTACTGAACTGAATCTGTGTCAGTCTGAGAGTCTGTACTGCATCCAAAGGAATGGCTTTTGAGTTTAAGTTTTACAACAAAATCTGAAAAGAGTTGAGAAGGGTTTTCCTGCGTAAACCTTGCCACCACTCTTGAATTCTCTTTATCTAGGTACGGCTGGAGAACTGCAGAGTGGACAGAGTGTCACGTGGACCCTTTGCTCAGTCAGCAGGACAAGAGGCGTGCCAATCAGACAGCCCTCTGTGGAGCTGGCATCCAGACCCGGGAAGTATACTGCACACAAACCAACGACAACCCGCTCTCCCACTTAGATACACAAAAGGACAAAGAAGGTAAGTGATTCTCCCCTCAAATAACTTGCTCTTGAAGAGTGAGCAGGTGGTTGTCATTGAGGAATGTAAATGGGCCCATGGGGGACAAGAAGAGCCCCCTACTGTGTTTACTGTGACAAGAGTCCTAGTCAGATAAGGAGTGACCTACTTGATGGTTGGTAAGAAACTTAATACAACTCTGTCTGTGGTTGGGATTGATTTCTTTTATAGATCTCTTAAAAAAAAATAGTAAAGGTCTCTGGCATTGAAATTTAGAAAGAGTAATTAGTTTATAAAACTAAAATTTTATCTTGTATTTTATATGCATATAGCGCAAGTATATAAAATGAGAGAAAAGGATAGTAATTGCACAATTAACTTTTAAAAAAATCTCATTTTGTTAAACTGGGATTAAAAATAAATATAACATGATATTGATATTTCTTGTGTATATTTGGTTTTCAATTATTGCTACTTTGTTAAATATATTATATGCAATTTATTATTTATAATTTATTATATATATTATATTATATTATACAGATTGAGTATGTTATTATCTATTTCCTAATTATATAAATAAAATCTGCTCAGTCTGTATAATGTTACTTAGGTATATATTTCACAACTGGCCCCTTAGTACTGGATAGCCATATTGGGGACTCTTACTTGGGGAAGACTGTTTTTACTGATTTTGACATTCTTTAGTTTCCTATAGTTCTTTATCTAAAGTGGAATCACCATGAGACATCTTCCATCTATAAAAGCATGGATAATGGTACAATCCATGTTCCAGGTTTTGTTTAGGCAGCCGTGTTGATGAGACTTCACAGGTTTGGATTCTCTGATTTTTCTAGGAGACAAATAAGCTTGCTGTTCCTCTGACTCTCACAGTCTTCCCACCTCCTCCTCTTTATGATCCCTGAGCTTTGGATGCGATGCAGGAGTTGCCATGCCTGGCACTAGATACCTGCCAAATACTTGAGCTTGTAAAGTCATGGATATTGAAGGAGAATCTCCAAGTGCTATTTACTTAAACCAGCATAATTTCTAACTACATTCCAAATATTTGTACCTATACTCAGAGATAAGTATAGATCTCACCCCTCCCTTTTATTATATTTTAATCATGGCTTGGGGACTAGATAGATAAGTGTACAAAACAGCAAGTTAATTTAAAATTGACCCTGGCTGCAAGAAGATCACCATGTTATCAGATCAAGTTTATACTAATTACTTTTAAACAGTTCTGCATGCAGTTCTTTATCTGTATACCAGCAAAGCCCCAGAGAATAATTCATTCAGCAGGCATTTGTTGGATATCAGGAAAAAAAAATCACCAGATATCCAAAGACATATATGATAGGGTAACATATGATATATATTTATCATAAAATTCTTAAACTCATCATGAAGGTACACAAAACAATAGTTACAATACACTATGGGGACCTGTACAACCATGAATCAGAAAGGTTAGTGGGAATAGCACTGGGGCAGAATGACGACTGACAGGCTACTTAGGGAAAAGAGGGTAAGGGCAGGAACTGTAGATGTCTGTACGAGGCATGGGGAATACTGTGTGTTAAGGCACAACACTAAAGCAAAGTCAAAACAAAGCACACACATCCTGCGTTTGACAACTGAGAATAGAAGAGAACTTCCTAGAAAGCTTGTAGGTTGAGAAATTTAGAAAAAAAAAAAGCTAGTTGATAAAAAATAAAATAAAAGAAGAGAAAGAAGGAGAAAAATTCTGAACAATAATAATCAAAAAAGGGCGAGGGAGCAAGGGCAGGAAGACAAATGAAGGCTTTTAAAACCAAGATTGGCTCCACTGCCCTAGCAAACGATGCGATGTCAGTGACCAAAGATAAGCAATGAAGGTTTGCATTTGCAACTTACAAAATTTAACTGTTCTGCAGTCCACTAATTTTACCCAGCATGTCAGCTCATTTAGGAGTATAGCCTTAGGATAGATTTTACTACTAATGTAGCTTGAGGTTATAAGGAACCAGCATAAAACACAAATGTTAGTACATTGATATTTTCTTGGCCACTTTAATGGCTGCATTCTTAAGACTTTTAGGTAGATTTATTACAGTAAGCTTTTCAGAGTAGTATAATTTCATTGCTCGAGGTAGATCAGATTTTACTTTCTGAATGTCAATTATGTCTTGTAGGTTATTACTTTCAAAAGATCTTGAGAATTCTGAACTATAACTGGTTATGATTTAAATCATTTTTTCAGAGTCCCCTCACTCCTCTTCTAAACCACTGCAAAGAACCAAAAGTAAAACAGAGAGACAGCAACACAAAATGAATATCATTATTAAGATGTATCTGTTAGAATAAAGCAAATGCCAAAGAAAGGTCAGTAGATACGAAAATAATGACTTCACCTAAAATGAATATTTATGATTGGTATGTATGGCATGAGTAACTTAGGAATGTGTATCCCTTTATGTACTAGGAATATTAATAAGCCTCTTAGAAGTTGTATTTTTTGTTTTGTTTTGATGTGTGCATCAGGTGCATGTGTGTTGTGTGTGTATATATGTGTGCATGTGTGTGTCTGTGTTTGTAAGTGTATGTGTGTGTTGGGCAAAAACAGCTTATATTCCTTTCTTTCCTTTCCTTCCTCAAAACATACATGTGAATGTCCCTTAGGAGTTGTTGACATTTCCCAATAGAAACCCATCCAATGTACCAGCATCCCAGGGGTGACATATGTGGATTATAAACACGAGTGAATGGAGGACAATTGAACCCTATGAAGATTATTCAAAGCCTGTTTTCTTTCAATAAATACTAAAAGGCCAGATCTTATTTATAAAAAGAGACTTCTCAGACCAGCTTCTACGAACAGGCCTAATTAGAAGATAATAGTCTCAAGAAATCTTGACTGTGTTACCATGAACAGATCACCCCATATGCCATCCATATTATACTTATTTCAAAGAACAAATTCCACACTTTCTTTTACAGATTCACACTGTTCTATAGATGTCATTTTCACAAGTAACAAAGTATTTTTAACATCAGTTCAAAATAATTTGACTCAAAATAAATCTCTTCATATATAATCAGAGAAAGCAGGTGATATGATGCTCATATAAACTTTTTTATTATTTTGACAGCTAGGTCTCATTATGAAATTGAATGTTTATGCCCACATTATTATTAGGACAGAATCACCTTTATCACTTTATTCATTGTTATATATACTTTGCTAACTAATTCAAACCACACAGATCACAAAATACTACTGCCAGACTCCTGACAATGTTTCTCCGACAATATCCAACAAGAAAATGACTGTATCTCTTTAAAGGAAAGGCCTGGTCAGATCCACACCGAGGAGTAGTGGAAATCTAATTTTTGTTGATATACCTGATCAGGATTTAAGTAAGCTGTAAATGGTATCCAGCTCATACTAGAATAAAATCAACCCTTATCACATTATGACAGGATAGCACCCATGTATATCTTAGACAGCAGCTAAAAATTATTCTTCTTGGACGCTCATCATCAGTTCTGTAGGAACACATTGATTGCTTCCAGAGATCAAAGGGAAACTGAAGTAGATTTTAAGTACAATAACCTAGGGATCCTTTCGTTGGGTGCAGTTTAAACATGGTTTGTTTTATTGAAACTAAAACAGAGTGAAAGAGTAGATCATACTCGAGGTGATTTACATCATAGAAATCTTGAACAGGTGTTCTGTAGGAAGCACATTAATAAAATCTGTATAAGAGTAGAGAGACTCAGGCTACCAAAAAAAGACAGCCCAGACTGTGAACCTTTGTGATGAAGTACAATAGCTAAAATGATTGGTGCTTAAAAGGAAAATACAGCTGAACTGGACTTTGGAGAAAGGTTTATAAACTCATATTTCCCCATGCTCTATCAAGAACTGAGAATAAAATAATCACATTCCTCCTCAGTATAATGTAAATTCGTTTTGCTCGTAGCTATCTATAGTTTTAATAGTAAGCACAGTTTAGACAGTGCTTTATCTTGAAAAACAAAAGAAGAGGGTACACCTTTCCTGTCCATCACTTTTGAAATAACAGATGGGTGAGACTATTTTACATCACTTTTCCATCAGCAATATGCATCAGAGTATTATGAGCCTAGGAAAGACTTCACAGCTTCATTGATGGGATGCTTAACCGTGTCAGAGAAGAGTGTGCTTTCACACATAGGATTCTTGGCGTGGATCAAGCTATCCCATGACATGTTAATGGTCTCATTTTTTTTTTGAGAGTGAATATAATATCATTATAGGTGTAGATTACAAAAAGCAATGATTGCTATATTTTAAGACTTTCAACAGTAACTATTATACCTTATATATAATAGCCATGCATACAGGTATGTAAAGTGTGGTGATAAACATCCTTACTGAGAGAAATTAAGCACTTTCCATAATGTTTTCACTTGTCTGAATATTCCGTCCCATGCTTGACTAAGTCTAATATGGCAAATTGAAACAAAAATAAAAGGCATGATGGTTACATTTTTGAAATATATCCTTCACATAGGTGAAATGCAATATAATTATAGAATAATTAACACACAAAAAAAACCTTGAAGGAATCAGATCTTTCTTGCCAGTGAGCTCTCTGGAGAGAACAAAAGAGAAGGTCTGACACCCTCTGCAGTTTCCTCAACATCTCCAGGATGTTAAGAGGTTTCAGTCAGTGGGATAAATGCTAATGAGAACTCACCTCCTGGGAATTAGATTAAGGTGGTTAGTGTTCTACCCAGAGGTGACTTCTGGGACTTTTTATGGGAGGAAGGGCCTACCCATGAGATCTCAAGAAGTATTCAAACAAAAAGTACAATCAAAGAAAATACTCTGTTGGAGTAGTTCAGAAGTATTCCTTGCCTTTAACTTAGGTCATGTGCTCAGTGTGCTTACTGCCCCCACTGTAACAGACACAATCTGTTTGAAATTCTTCTGAAAAATGGCTGCTCAAATATGTGAATGGATTCTCCTCTTTAAAACTATCTAACAC